TGCTTATGATCTGTACGATTACTACAGTAATTCCAAGACTACTGAACAAGTATGAGAAGCTCTGTAGAAGAATTACAATACTGAAGAAGCGGGTGTCGCGCACAATCGTCGTTGTCATCAAAGACGAAGGAGATGAACCAAAATATGCGACAGTGATGATAGGAAAAGAGATGTAGCGGTAAAGATTTGAGATTAAGCCATCAATTGACTTATCTCAACACAATGAAGTCGCCACCGCACTTTAATGTTTCCAAAGGGAAATGAGAAAAAAGTGAACAAAACCCACAATGAAATAAAATGTCATAGATCGAGGTACGGGGGTCGGTTATACAAAGGGAAGGTATTAGCACCCTAAGCATCTATGGTATTCCGCAGGATCCATTTTGTTTGATTTCTTTTAAAAGGAGTGTTATGTAAAGGTTTACTTTCTAAAGGAAAATAATGAATGAGTATTTGTAAACAAAAGAAAATGAAATGTTTTTTTTATTATTTTTGTTGCTCGCCTTGGATCATAAGACTTAGTTCCTACGTACTCCCTCGTGCAACAGGTAAGTCAGAGCACTGTAGTTTGGCTAGAAAAGACTTGTTTGTTGATTGATTTTAAATGAAGAGACAATTCTCCATTGTTAGGAGAGAAATCTCGACTAACATCCACAAGGTGTGAGAAAGATGGATCCTGCGTCAGCAAGAGTGAGGGTTTAAGAACGCCTCTAGTACTCAAGTAGAAAAGTCGACACCTTTATAACCATGGGGGTAGGAGAATGTTGCTCGACTATCAATGAATCATATCTCATCTTGGAAAAAGTTTTGAAGGGTAAAAGTGCTCGAGTGCACAAAAGAGTTTGAATGAGTTGAAGTGTTTTTGTTAATTTTGAAAAGAAATGTCAAAGTATGATTAAGTGAATTGAATTTTGTTTAAGGAAAAGAATTTTTAAAAGAAGAGGAACTCGACAAAGTCGAAGCTTATTATGAAAGTCGTTTGTGTTTATAAGCAAGAAGAATTTTCAAAAGGAGGAAGAAGATTTTTAAAATTAAAGAAGATGGGAGAAGATGAAGGGACTATCCTAAAGCATAAGGTAAAAGCTAAGGAAGAGAACCGTCTAACCAACAAGAAGCCAACACTTGACATTATGAGTCAAGATAGAATTCCCATTCTTTGGATTGAAACCAAGCAAGGATACTAAACCTATTGAGAAAACCAAGCTTTAATTGCATTAAATCTTCACAAAAATTGGGAAGAGTAACGGCTGTATACAGATGAATTCCAGATTACAGACAAAGTATGTAATCACAATAACCTGCACACAAAGCAAACAAACAACCCAATGTCTTGAGGTAAACCTCAAGAGCTCCAGACAAAATATCAATTAAGGTCACAAGGTCTCCAATATAGGTCAAGGTCTCTAATCCTAAGTCGAAGAAGTCTAATACTCCATAATACCAAGGATAGTAACCAAATAGTCCAAGTATCATTAATGTTTTTTATGGTTCATGTTGATTATCAAGTATCTTCAAAAGGAAAATAAAAGCTCAAGTCAGCAAAATAAAAATGGCATAAAAGTAAATGCTCAAGTGAGCAAAGATGAAAATAACATGAAATGTAAATGCTAAAGTAAAATGGTACATAAAGTAAAGGGCATAAAAATAAAAAGCATAAAGTAAAGTCAATTGTTAGAAGTTAATGGTTAGTTGGATGACCATCTTGAAACTTGCATTTGGAACTCATTAGAGGATTTGTAGAACCAAAGCCTCTCAACAATAAGTTGGATTATCTTTTTGTCAAGTATATCATCCATTTAGGAACCTTCAAGGCAATATTTAATGATCAATGATGTTTAAGTGATCCGCGTTGACCAAAGCTGATGAAGATCCATTGGAGGATTGGTAGAACCAAATCCTCCTAACAATGAAGCTCAAGATTATTGAATCAAAGGGTTCAAATTAACATACTTAGGCTTTCAAATATAGGTTTGGGCCACAAATGATTATTTTCTCGAATCGAGACAAAATTTAGCGTTATGTTAAGCAATCGTAAGTGGATTTATGTAGAAGTCGCACCTATTTTGTGGCCGGTCAATAGCAATCTATGTACTTCATATTTGGATAAATGATATAGAGATAATTATCTCTTAACATGTAGCACAAATAAAAAAGAAAGGGATAAGATGAAGAGGGAGGGGAATGATAAGTTAATTTGGATCACTACCTCAAATTTCTTTCATCTTTAGATTCAACCACTCATCTCGATGAATTAAAGTACTAAACATATCATTAATCCAAAGCACCAAAAATGAATCAAACAATTCACTCTTTGGTAGATTTGAATTAATGGACATTTATCCAACTTCATCTACACCCAAAGTCCATTGAATTTAAAGAGAAATTGGACATTTAAAATTTCAATCCAAATCAACAATCAAAAGGAGTGAGTAGAAAAAGAGAGAGGATCAAAATAGCCCAAAACAAGGCAGAAAAAGCATTTTTGTTATGTTGCAATCGATTTCACTCTGGCAGCAATCGATTACATCAGTACATTTTAAAAAAAAAACGTGAAATTCTGCTGTGACAATCGATTGCGCTGTTACAACAATCGATTGCACCCCGTTAAAAATAGAAAAAACAACATTTTAAAAGGTCAAATTCTTGTTCAAACTTTCTATCAAATACCTTATGATCATGGATTTAATTGAGCACGAAAATTCCATCAAATTATGAGAAAATAGCACCAACGGAATCACAAAACAATGCTCCATGAATCAAACCCAAAGATCAACAAGAGATCACATTGTGAAAGATGAAAAATCCAACTTACCAAATGTAGATCTAGAGAATTATCAAAACAACTTCATGAATTTGCTTCAATTCAGCCCCAAGAATCAATTGCCCAAGCTTGGATGTAGAGAATTGACAAAGAAAAAGTGATTGAATGAAGGTTTAGCTCAAATATTAGTAAGCTTCAATGCAAAGCTTACTAATTTTTTTTGAAAATGAAGCTTTGAGTGAATTTGGTAGATGGAGAGAATTGAGAGTTTTTTAGCAAGGTGGATTTTTGGTTATCAAAAGCTTGAGATTTGAATGAAATGAGGGGTCTATTTATAGAGTTTAGGTTTGAGATTAGTGGTGGTTTGGTAATTAATTCTTGGAGCCAAAATTTGAATTAATAATATATCTTTAAAAAAATAGAGCCAAAATTTGAATTAATGATATATCTTTAAAAAATGAAGAAAAAATGGAGCCAAAATTGACAAGCTTGAAATTGCTGATTTTTTTCAAAATTTCACATTGTGAAATCAATTGCACTCTGGGAGCAATCGATTGCATCAGTGTTTTTTTTCCAAATATTGCGCAAAATACACTTTGTGGAATCGATTGCACTCTAAGAGAAATTGATTGTACAGTGAAAAAAAAATTAGATTATTTTGATTATTTTTCTTTGCAAATAGAGATTTTAGAAAAATGATACTGGAAAACCCTATTTGTCAGATGCTTTGACTCGGTACCTACAAAACACAAATATACATAGACAAAGACAAATATTTTTTTTGTATTTTGATTAGAAGTTAGTCAACAACGCAAGAGCAAACTTAAAGATAGGATGCAAATGTGATGAATGAAGCTATTTGTTAATGATTGTGACCAAATGACAAAATATGATATGAAAGTGCGACTGAAAAAGTTAGGGGCGAAATTTAGGGTACAACAACGGGTGCAAAGAAATATGCTGCCAGCCGCTACTTGAACTATAAGATGATGGATAAAAGGTTTGTGGAAGCTCAAAGCCACGAAATTCAGAAAATTGCTCATGAAATCATTACAGAAGATATGCCCCTTAATGAACAATTTCAAATTGTTGTTATCATTAACAAACTACCTACCATTACGAAATATACCATCATTACAAACCATCCAAATATATAAGACACTAATATGACAAATCATAACAAAATTAACCCTAGACTTACCCCTACCACCCTAAAAAGAGAAGAAAAAAAACTCAAAGAAGTCTATGATCATTAGGAAGAATCACATGCCAACCTAACCTCTAAAAAATTATATACTGCATTGTCAAAACTAGCTCACAAGTGATAAAAATATGAAAACCCGACTCAGTCGAACCCTCATACATGAGACAAATAATCCCATCAGAATCAACAATTACCCTTTTTAAATAGATTCTCTCTAAAAAGGAGTCTCTCTTCTAAAACCTCATAAAAAAAGATCATCACTTTAAAAGGAGGCAAACTAATCTAAATGAAAAGAATTGTCAAATTCTCAGCCATATGAGAGGACAATGAAGATTTATAAAGATGCAACTGGTAAACAAATGCAACTGAGAATATATTATATGTTGTATGATTTCAACTTTATTTATCTATGTAAAGTCGAAGAACAGAGTTAAAGTTATCAAAAACTTTTGTCTACATATATCTTGATAATATCAATTTATAAATGTGAGGTAGATCCATCCATAAAATAAATGGGGCCATTAGCACATATCGAAGCCTTTATTTTTTCGTCCTCATTAGTTTATAAAGCATGACAAAATTAGAGAGGAATATCTTGAATGAAATATGATACAATTATGGGCAGCATAAATGTTCCATGAACAAGCACATGTTATTGTTTCCCCACCCATTCCACCATGTTCAGGGAACATTTCCAGCTATTTATTCGGTTCTTGATCTAAAATAAAAACAAATAAATATAAATACATTTTTATATATAAAATGTAAAAAAATAACTGATTTTATTACCAATGAATCACATAAATTACTAAGCTACAAAAGTCCAAACACACTAATAGGAAATCAAATATATATAACTTAGAGTCGATTATTGTGTCTGTTCTTACTAGTTACTGCAGTACTTTAAGACTTTTGATTATGTTTTGTTTTGAACAATATATAACAAAACAAGCTATATAATAATATAAATCAAATAATTAGACTCCAGCAATAAAATAGTTTCAGGTGAGAACAATGTTTAGCTAATAAATTAAATTATTCTCCATAGCTCCTGTTTTTGCATTTCTCCATAGCTCTCGGTGCTGAAATGAAATAAATAAAGCAAAAATTATTATTCTACAAATGAAATTTCCAAAGTTTTAGCATTTTCATGAATAAAATAAAAGGTTGATACTAACCAATACCAATAGCCTCCTTTCCTTTCATGATACGCAGACGTTTGCATGATTCAACAAACATCCTGTTGACAAGAAGATAGTCAATGTTAGATATAACTTGTTAAACTCTTGTGATAATTAAAATCCTTATGATATTTAACAAGATTATGTTATTGATTTAATTTTTTTTTTGTTCGGTGTTGTTTATGTCAAAGTTTATTTTGGCCTATAAAAAAGTATTATATATATTAATCTTTTAACTTTTCAAAATATATCATGTTAATCATTTTAGTTTACGAAGAGGGAGATGGTGAGTGAGGTCAATATTCTTTGATTTTGGTTAGTTTGTGGAAAAGAAAAGTGCCGAGTAGAATCTTAATTTTTGATTGGAAGTTGATTTGGAATATGCTTCCTATGAAGAGGGAGTTGGTGAAGTGAGGAGTTTTGGTGGGGACTCATGGCTTGGTTTGTTCTTTGTATTTTAGGGTTGAGGAGGATTTAGATCATCTCTTTTGTATGTGTCCCCTCTCTAAGTTGTGGTGGAGAAGATTTGATTTTGGCTTCAGGTTAAAGATTTTGTTTTGTCGAGCTCTATTTTGGATCATCTTCTTTCGTTGGAACTTTCTTGTAATTTTTTTTGTTTGATTACGTGTTGGGTCATATGGAAGTGTAAGAATAAGATCTTTTTTAAAGGAATTTTCGTCTAATTTCGACGGGGTGGGGATGATTAAGTTATTAGCATGAAAATGGTTCATTTCGTTTTTCAAAGTTGAGGATAATATGTTGTGGTTGGATTGGTGTATCGATCCAAAAATTTATTTTTGGTGATTTTTAAGTGGTTCTTTTTCAAAAATCGATCGTTAAATTCGTTACTAATTAGACAAAAAAAATAACATAGTATTTTTTGAAGATTTGGAGAGAGAGAGAGAGAGAGAGAGAAATTTTTCTCCAAAAGGAAATGATCACTATGTTTAAATATTAACCTTTTGAAATTTAATAAACATCTTCAAAAAAATATATATATACTATTCAAAATCAAGTCGAGAAGTATAGCCTCCTTTAAGGATAACATACTTTTTATAACAAGATTCAAGCCTATTTTTATGAGCGTTCAAAAGGGAACCCTTGTTCAAGCCTATTTTAAGTTTAACATTCACAAATCTATAACATGTAATCTACCTTCCATTTCTTCAATTTAGATATATTACCTCATTTCCCTTGGGATATTTTCTTACCACCTTTCAACTTTCCAATGAATTATTATTGTACTTGAATGATAGCCTTTCACACTTTAACCATTATTTTTTAAAAGGAAAGATAAAAGATAGATATCCTATTGAAATCCCAATTGAGAAGGATAACCAAGTCTTTAAGGTTAACATACTTGTTATAAGAAGATTCAAACCTATTTTTTACGGGAACTCGACAAAGGGTTTGGCGCCTATCCTGACCAAAAGTTCCCCAACTAAAATCTAAAATACCTAAAAGGCTCAATTCAACCTTAAAATTCAAAAATCATTAATCTTGACCCTAATGACAATACTCTTAGAAAAGTTAACCTGAAAACTAAATGCAAGTTAAAAGAACCGTTTTAAACGTCCACACATTCTCCATTAATGGCTCGCCTATAAATAAATTATCATCTACGACAAAGCTTATGAAACAATTTAGGGACTTAACATTCCAAATTAATTCACCCAGACCTTCTACCTCTAAAAGAAACAAAAAAAAAAGCGCATGAGGATCCCCTTATTTCAGACGCCTTTGGAAATTAACCTCCTTCTTTAAGAACTTGTTGTCTAGAACCAATATAATTCATGAGAAAACTCATACTTAAATTCAGACTCTTTATTTATCATCAAAACAAAACATAGCTAACCTTTAATCCAAAAATCCCAAACTATGTGAGTCATACACTTTCTCAAATTCTACTTTAAAGACAAGACATTCTCTGCAATATTTTTTTCTTTCAATATCTATGATCTAATTTCCAACCAACTAAAACGTTATCTACCACTTTATAAAGACAATCTAATATAAAAATGGGTCTAAAGTCTCGTAGGTGAAAAAGAGTAAATTTTGGAGATGAAAAGCTCTAAGGTAGTCTAGCATTATTAAAAAACTTTATTTTTTGAATGGAAGTATTAATATCTTAAAAGAGAAATAATATAAGGGGTACCCGAAAGGTACCAAAGGGAATAAACAAAATAAAAAAGAAAGAGATAAATCAACCAGATATAAATAGTAAAAAACAAATACAAACAACTAGGAAAAAGGCTAATAAAATTTGTCAAAATAGTTATAACCCAAAAAAGACAGTACACATGAAAACTAATCTACCTAATAAAAATCACAATTAACTTACGACCTTATTCGAGATCACAACATCACAATCAAATAACAACCCTAATACAAGATCATTTTAAGAAATCCAAAGTCTTACCAAAATATAGTTTTAAAGGGAAGAACATGATTACATCTGCCAATTTCTCAGCATTCACAATCTCGCATAAGAAGTTAATACCATTATATATTTTCTTAAATGACTACACGTCTCAATGCCAAATCAGAGTCGTACCTGGTTAAAACTAAACCCAACACCAAAATACCCAAAAACTATACAAAAATCATAATAAGTTTGGAAGCATTGCTAATTTCAACCTTAATCACCTATAAATTCTATATCAAGCTTGGGGGACAAAATAGAAGGTTAAAAGCAAATGGTGCGTTGTTTCAATATCAGAATGGAAAAAAGAACACAAGAAATATTATTATGATCCTCTATAACCCTACACCTAAAAATATTGTGACGAGTGGGTGCCTAGTTACGGAGAAAATGACACGAGATGTCAATAACATTGGTTAAGGCCTACTTTTAAAAACTTTGGATAAGACTTATATATTCTTTTCTGGAAGAAAAACCCCAATAAATGAAGCCTCGTCAATAGTGGTATAACTTTAGTTGAGTAAGTAAATACCACTCAAGTCGTGTCCCAAACACCCAAAGTACTTTGTTAAGTCAAGAGAAATCTCATTAATATAAATCAAAAGATTAGGGATCAAATCTTGTTCTCAATAAAATATTTTCTCCTCTACGTGAATCCCCAAACCCATAAATCTTCCCTTCGATAACCTATATGCCCACAATTAAATCAAATTGATTTGGAATTTGAATAAGCCTTTGATATTAGTGATACAAGGCCCATGCCCCAGCCCAAGGATCCTTTCATAAGGAAGTGGAAAGGCCATTATGGACCCCCTTCACAACCCATTACAATAATAATATAAAGTATACTTTGCATTAGACACAAACATTAAGATGTCTTTCCACTTGATTGATATCTATTCAGATTTTAGAGAACGACATCCCAAGTCAAAGTTAATGACTTGTATCCCATACTTAACGATAATGACATCTGCCATAAGCACATATCTCTAACCTAAGACCTCTTTTTTGTTTTGCAAGCATCAACTAACTAAACCTAAGGCATGTTCTTAGCCTCATTTGACCTCCCCCATAAGAAACTCCTTTGTAACTAGACAATATGTTTCTATAATTTATCTTACTTCTTCATGAAATATGGTAGAAAATAAGAATACTATCCACTACTGAGTTGAGGAGGATAATTCTACCACCTAATATATATATTACTCCAAAACCTAATCCTATGAGAAACCATACGAATTAGATGGTCTCAACCCAACTTTCTCAAGTGACTTGCCCCAAAAAGTTAACCAAGATACCTAAAAGGCACCAAACAAACCATATGGGACATCAATCGGTCTTCCAAAAACTAACCATTCACATTGACCTCTCAGGAGCCTACTTTTAAAAAAATTAACTCAAGCTCAAATCCAAGTAAAAAAATTGGAGGATTGTCTTAATAGTACATATATTATTTACATATGATTCTCCTTTGAAGATAGTGTCATTCAATACTAAAAGATGTGAAACCACCATGCCACCCCCCACACCAAAAATAGAGATCTCAATCAAGAACTTAATCAGCCTAACGAAATCACCTAACCCCTTAACCACCAAAAAGAAAATGAAATAGAGCTAGACGATGACCTTGTGTAAGCCCTTTTTAAATATTGACCTCTTGAGTAGGACACATGTTAACAAGAACAAATATACTTTTTGAGAAACACATCATAAATGTATGACTTCTACCTAGGATCAAAATCAAATCTCCCGTCACACAATCAAAGAACCTCCATATGATAAAGTCACAGATTTTCTCAAAATTTATCTTAAATGTGAGACAACCCCTTTTTAACTTCTCAGCAAAATCAACAATTTCATTACTCACACAATATAGTCTACTAGTTATATCCCTTTGTTAAAACCATATTGGTTGGTGGAAATGATCTTATATGTGAGAGGTTCCAATCTCTCATCCAAAACCATGGCTACTAGCTTATACAAGCCAAAGAAAAGAAATCAGCCTAATATTTTCAAATGAAAAGAAGAGTTCCTATTAAGATTTAGAGTTTAAAAAAAAAAGAGAAGCTACACGAAAAATTAACATGGATAAAGAATTAATCGAGCATAAATCCCAACATCTCTAATAAACAATAACCTGAATTGCTTAAATATTGATAAATTAAGTCTATTATAGACTTAGTTACCATAGCAATTATCAATCAATGATCTACTCTAAAACCAAAAAAGAAGCCACAAAAAAAGACATGTCATCCGAAGACATATGAGAGAAAAGCAATATTATCTGACGTGCGATCGCAAATATGTATTATCAAAGAGCTAGTCGAAAAAATCCTGAAATTCCCTCTCAATGATGGCATAATGATTTTAAAAAAGTAAAGAGAAATTCATCACACTCTTAACTCTTATTCTCATCACATATGATCACCATTATATATATTTAGTGCACCGATGAACATGGTCGAAAGAATCTTCATAAGAGAGAAATAAAAAAAATATCAAATCTTGATCGATCTAACCCGACGAAGGCTCCACCGACGATAGTAACTAATTTTAAAAAATCTATGTTTTGATATTAAAAAAAAGCACTATAAAGAATAAAATAAAAATTCTAAATAATTGATGGAAATACTTACTCCCATGGAACATCACCGACAAGCATCCAGTCACCATCCTTGTCTTCATAGGTTGGGACATAATCAGAGTTGTTTAGAAGATCCATCAACTTACTCTCATTCATAAAATCCTTCATTCCTTGAGATTCACAGTTTCCTTAAATATAAATAAAAACAACAATAATTAACGAGCATTATCAATAAAAGGAAGAAGGTAAAATTAAGATTAATGAGTGAATTATTAATTACCAATGGTGAAGGAGCTGAACATTTTGCCTAAGGAATCTGAAAGCTGTGAGTAATTTTTGTACATCTTCAAGTCTACTTTGCGGAGGTAAGGTGCTCCATCCATGCTAACTTTCACAAAGCTTATTGCAATGGAATTTGGATTGCCACTTTCTTCACTCTTTTGTGTTGCTAATATGTTCTTCCTAAATGACCTCACAGGTGGCCAACCTACCACTTGCATCCTATACATAAATATATAAGTGTTTTTCTCCTATTTAATATAAGAAAAAATTTACTTTTTTAAATATATTAAAGAATTAATATATATGAATTAAAAAATTTATTTTTTAAATTTATTGAAAAATAATATATGTGGACTATATAATTTACATATATTAATTATTTGGTAAATTTAAAAAATAATTTTTTTCTTATATTAAAGAAGAGAAAAAGTAGTAAAAGAAATTAAATTGAAACTTTTTTGATCTAGTAGTATATATAGTATATATACTATTACCCGAAACTTGGAGCTATATTTAATTGTAATTATTCTGGCCTTTTTAAGTGATTAGGCATATAGAACAAATTTGTAACACTAAAAGGTACTCTATTCCGTATTTATATGTTGCACGATATAATCAAGAATTTTTTATTGTAATATTATTAGGCTTTTTTTTAAAATTCTTTTTAAACAAAAAGTATATATTTATTTCTTTTCATAGTTTCTTTGCCTAACTCACGAATCCATATTTCATCCTCTTTCATTAATTATTTCCATCTTCCATTATTTATTTTTCTTCTGTAATGAAATTCCTCCATTCAATTTTTTTTATCAATATTTACATTTAACATTCTTTATTTTATTTATACGATGAATAATATATTTTTAAATTAATATATATATATATATATATATATATATATATATATATATATATATATATATATATATATATATATATATATATATATATATATATATATATATATATATATATATATATATATATATATATATATATATATATATATATATATATATATATATATATATATATATATATATATATATATATATAGTGATGACCACTAAAATAATAGTGTATAATAGTAAAATAAATTGATTAAAAAAATATAAGAAATTAATTAATAAAGTAATGAAGTTAGTAAATAAACGGTTAGATATTAAAAATAATTTAATAATAAAATAAAATTAGTTAATAAAAAATAAAAAATTAATTAATAAAATGGTGAAGTTGATTAATAAGCGTTTATGTATTAAAAATAATTTTTAATAGTAAAATAAAATTGATTAATGAAATATAAATTATTAATTAATAAAATTATGAAACTGAAGTTCAAATATTAAAAATAATTTTTACTAGTAAAATAAATTGGTTAATAAAATATAAAATAGTAATTAATAAAGTTATGAAATTGATTACACAATTTTATATCGATATTCTTTAATTTAACAAATTTTTTTAAAACATATTAAATTTAAAAATAAAGTTATTATTATAATAATTTTTTATTGTTCACATTAATATTCTTAAATATTTTTTTTTTATTTAAAAAAAAAATATTAATGTAAGAATTGAGTATGAATAGCATTACTCATTCTTCTTTCTCTCACACAAATGCATAGAAAATTACTACAGGCTTACACCTAACTATACCATGAATTTTTTCATGGCAAACTGTATAAGCTATATTTACAAGTCTTAATATGAAAGTTCGAAAAAATGAGAAGAGATCTATCTTATATAAAAACCATGAATTTTTTCATGGCAAATTGTATCAGCTATATTTAAAAGTTTTAATATGAAAGTTCGAGAAAATGAGAAGAGATCCATCTTATATAAAAATAAGGTGTGGTGAATAAAGTTCTAAAAAACAGTTTGTTACTCGAAAAATGTCTGCGACAAAATGACATTGAAAAATATCTTTATTGATATCATTATTTGTTTTTATGGTTAAAAAATTGTAGTATTGAACCTTATTAACAAACACATTGATGAGCGGTCAAATTCAGTTATAAAGTAGTTAAGAGAGTTAGTTACATGTATAACAATTTTGCTATTGTGTAGTAGCTTATGGTGCAAGGCACCTTACTTGTATATATATCATCCTTGTAACTCTTTGATAATCAATGAGAATTACTTTCTTCATCATGTTTATTGGAATTCATAATATGGTATCAGCCTTTATCAATGAACAACTTCCACTTCTCATTCAATCTTCATCACACAGATGAAGTTTCTTCACAGTTTTATTCATGATCTTCATCACCTTGATGAATTTCTCTCTTTCTCATTTCTTGTTTCTTCTCCGCATCTGATTTTTCTATTTCCTTTTTGCTTCACATCTTTGAGAATTCATCATCGATCCAACCATGCCTCTGCATCTCGCACCAAACTCTCAACTTGATCTTGACTCCATATTCTACATTCATCCTAGTGAAGGTCCTAATTTAGTTACAGTCACTCCAAAACTTGATAGTTCCAATTATCTCACATGGAGTCGTTCCATGCAATGTGCGTTAGGTGCTAAGAATAAATTGAAATTCATCGATGATTCTATAGAGATTCTTGATGACGAACACCTCAATTTCATTCAGTGGCAACGGTGCAATCACCTCATTCTTTGGTGGATTATCAATTCGGTTAGTGATCAAATTACTTCTATTATTCTTTTCCATGAAAATGTTGTTGATGCTTGGAACAACTTACATGAAAAGTTTTCCAAAGTTGATTGAATTTGCATTTTAACTTTGCGTTCTAAAATCAATAATTTGAGACAGAATTCAAGGCATGTCATGGAGTATTTTCTTGAAATCAAGGGTTTGTGGGAAGAGCTTAACTCCCACAGACCATTACATATCTGCCCTTGTGCTCACAGATGCAGATGTCATGCTGTGCAAAAGGCTCAAGAACATCGACTTGAGGAACAGGCTATACAGTTTCTTACTGGACTTGATGACAAATTTTCAGCTATTAGAACTCAAGTGTTGGTCACGGATTTGTTACCTTCCATGAATCACATTTACTATCTTGTTGTGCAAGAAGAGAGTCATCATCAGAACACCACACCCATCGATGAATCATCTATACTTGTTAATGCTGCTCAAAAATCTGAATTCAAGCATAATGGTGGATTTCACAAGAATACTCATAGGGTTTGCACATTTTGCAACAGGACTGGCCATACTGTTGAATTTTGTTATCAAAAGCATGGTCATCCCAATTTTAACAAGAATAAATCTTCAGTAAATTCTAGCCAAGTGGAGACTTCATCAACTGATGCTACTACAGATGCCCCTGGTGCGCACAATCAAATGCATATCACACAAGCTCAATATGATCAACTTATCACTTTGCTACAAAGCTCTAGCATTTCTGCACCTGCTTCCAGTTCCACCACAAACCAAGTATCCATTAGCCAAATTCCCTTTGATCAACCCTCAGGTATTGTTTGTAATACCACACAACACATAATCAAATTTTCTCATTCATGGATCTTAGATTCAGGTGCAAACGACCATGTATGTTCCTCTTTACACCTCTTTCATTCATACTACAGAATTACACCAGTTAGAATTACTTTACCTAATGGTAATAGAAAAACTACCAAATATGCTGGTAATGTTAGATTCACACCTCTTTTATACCTCAATCATGTTCTCTTTGCACCAGAGTTCAAGTTGAACCTCATTTCCATATCTAAATTGTATTATTCTTTGAAATTTTGTGCAAACTTTTCTGTTGGTCAATGTTCTTTGCACGAAATGAATACATTGAGGATGATTGGTTTGGGTAGAAAAGAGAATGGCTTGTATATCTTGCAGATCGAGGAAACTCATCCTAAAGAATTCCATGCATCTCACCAAGCTCAATTTCAACTCAACCTTCCCACTCGAGCCAACACATGTCATACCAATGATTCCTTTCCTTTTCCACACAGTCAAAACATTGTTATCCCTAAGTCAGCTCTATGGCACTTTCGACTTGGTCATGTATCTCCTAGGAGAATAACTCAAATGTCCAAAATATATTCTTCATTTGACTTTGATAGTCATGCTACCTGTGACATTTTCCATTTGGCTAAACAAAGAAAATTACCTTATCATTCAAGCAATTCCATAGCTTCTCATAAGTTTGAGCTTTTACATTTTGACATTTGGGGCCCTTTGTCCATTCCATCTATTCATAATCATAGATATTTCCTAACTATTCTTGATGACCATACACGATTTGTATGGATAATATTGTTAAAGTCTAAATCTGAAGTATATATACATGTCCAAAATTGTATCACTATGATCATTAACCAATTTCATGTCACACCAAAAACTATCAGGACATATAATGGATCTGAATTCTTATTACATCAATTTTACTATTCTATATCATACATCATAGGTCTTGTGTTGAGAATCCTCAACAAAATGGTCATGTCGAAAGAAAACATCAGCATCTATTAAATGTAGGTAGAACTATTCTATACCAGTCCAAACTCCCTAAACCTTACTGATCTTATGTTATTCAATTTGTCACCTTTATCATCAATCGTGTTCTAACACCCCTCCTTCAAAACCAATCACCTTATCAAATGCTCCATAATACTATCCATGCCATAGACACATTCAAGGTGTTTGGATCTCTTTGTTATTCCTCAACACTTCAATCCCATATAACTAAATTAGATCATGTGCCAGAAACTATATCTTCATTGGATACAAAACTGGTATGAAAGGATACAACTTGCTCAACTTTCACACCTCTGAGATTTTTGTGTCCAGAAATATAATATTTCAGGAGCATATTTTTCCTTATAACCCTATTAACCAAACATCACATACATCATGGTCCTACTTTCCTTCCAAACTTCCCACCAACCAAGCTAATAACACAGATATATCATCAGTCATCCATAACCAAAATGACTCACCTCACTCACCATTTGTCATCCCTAGTCCACCATATGCTGACTCATTAGACAACAATCGATCTGAATTTTCTGATCCTCTTATTCCACCTCCTCCCCCTGATACTGCACCACCCACCAGAACCTCTTCTAGAATGAGACAATATTCATCGTATTTGCAAAACTATATATGCAATTCTCTTCATACTTCAAAGCAAGCATCCACAGGTATTTCTTACCCTATGTCTCATTACATTTCTCATGAACAATTATCCTCTACACATTTCCATTATGCTTTGTCCTTAATTTCTAATATTGAGCCTAAGACTTATACTGAAGCATTTAAACATGAATGTTGGAAACAAGCCATGCAACTTGAACTTTCAGCACTCGAAAAGAATGGTACCTGGAAGATTGTTGACATTCCACCTGGTGTTAAACCCATTGGATGTCGCTGGGTATATAAAATAAAATATCTGGCAGATGGCTCTATTGAAAGATTCAAGGCACGGTTAGTAGCTAAGGGTTATAATCAGATTGAGGGTCTCGATTATTTCGACACTTACTCACCAGTTACTAAGATAACTACTGTCACAACCATCATTGCCCTAGCTTCATACAAACATTGATACATACATCAAATCGGTGTCAATAACGCATTTCTGCATGGAGAGATAGAAGAGAATGTTTACATGGTTATTCCTCCTGGAGTGCATACAAGTAAGCCTCATCAAGTTTGTAAACTTATAAAATCTTTATGTGGCCTTAAGCAAGCTAGTCGAAAATGGTATGAAAGGCTCACAACCTTTTTACTTGCACAACACTACACACAGACTAATTATGATCACTCTCTATTTGTCAAAACTCATGATACCTCAATCACTATCTTATTACTATATGTTCATGATGTCATCATTACTGGTAATGACATTACAAAATTACGCTTCATAAAGGCAGCCTTACACTCCACTTTCAAAATAAAAGATCTGGGCAAGTTGAAATATTTCTTGGATATCAAAGTTGCGCACTTTAATATTGGCATTCTCCTGTTCCAACACAAATATTACTTGGACCTAATAGAAGACTCATGGTTCCTTGATTCAAATCTTGTGTCTACTCCAGCAGATCCTACCATTAAATCGCATCATGATCCAAGTGAACCTTATCATGATATTCCATCTTATCGAAGACTCATAGGGAGACTACTATACCTCAATGCCACTCGATCAGATATCACTTTCTCCATATAACAGTTAAGTCAATATTTGTCTAACCCTTCAGTCACCCACTTCAAAGCTGCATGTCGAGTCTTAAAGTATCTTAAATCCTGACCAGCTCATGGCATTATGTTTCCTTGTGATTCCACATTGCAACTACATGGATATTCTAATGTGGATTGGGTCGGTTGCTTAGACACTCGCAGGTCTATCTCTGGCCAATGTTTCTTTCTTGGCAGATCATTAATATTATGGCGCTCCAAGGAACAATTGACAGTCTCACAGTCATCATCAGGAGCCGAGTATCGTTCCCTTGCTGCTGCCACATGTGAGCTTCAATGGCTACTATATCACTTACAAGATCTGCACATCAGATGCATTAAAACTTCGATCATTTACTATGACAATCAAAGTGCGATTCATATTACTTTCAATCCCGTTTTCCATGAACGCACAAAACATTTGGAGATAGATTATCACGTTGTTCGAGAAAAACAAAATAAAGGAGTTCTCAAGCTTCTTCTTGTCAAGTCCAGGGATCGGCTCGCAGATCTGTTCACTAAACCTCTTCTTTCTTAGCCCTTTAATACTCGTTTAGCCAAGTTGAAGATGATAAATATTTATTAACCTTCAACTTGTGGAGGGATATTGAACTTTACTAACAAACACAATGATGAGTTATAAAATTCAGTTACAAAATAGTTAAGAGAGTTAGTTACATGCATAACAGTTTTACTTTTGTGTAGTGCATATATATATATATATATATATATATATATATATATATATATATATATATATATATATATATATATAAAATTACTTTTTTATTAGAATTCATAATATATAATTAATTTATACCGCGCAATAAATATCATAACATACATGTATCTGACTTGAAACTGCAAAAGTCCTTACAAGACTAAAAAGCAATCGCGATCGTTAATTAAAATTTTGCTGGTGAATATATTTTTAAAAATATGCAACTTTTGGTTTCTTGTCAAAACATAGAAAAGTGTTAAATCTCATCTAATCGTAACAGCAGAACAACAAGATTACGCTAGCAAATTAAAAAAGTCAACAAAAGTTTTAGTATATAACTTATTATTAACTATATGGTTAATTATATATATATATATATATATATATATATATATATATATATATATATATATATATATATATATATATATATATATATATATATAACGAATTACTTACTTTGTAGGAGGCTTAGCGGGATCTGCAAGCAAAAGAGTCTTGTCCCTTGGCAAAGTCTTGGTGCTCTTATGATTTGGATCTACCTCAGCACCAGCTTCCTTAGAGGAAAGATTAAGCATCAAATCCATGGTAGTTTTCTCATCATCATGATGATCAGTTTCAGTCTCAGAAAATCCTCTCTTCCTTACAACTTCTTCAGAAACTATGGCTGATCCAATTCCAAGTCTCAGCTCAGTTTCTTCAAATCTCATATTCTCCTTTTTCATGCCAACAACCTCCATGATCAGTTTTCACTCTTTCTCTCTCTAAGCATTCAAGTGAGTATGTGGGAATAATAATAGTGGTGGTAAAGAGTAAGTATAGTGTAGTATAGGGGCAGGGAGAGAGTTTTGGTGGGCATTAATAGAAGAAAGTATGGTGCGGTTTGTCTTTTTATTTTTATTTTTTATATTTTAAATCAAAGTTTTAATTAGTGGAAAATAATGGGTTTGTTAATTACACGTGGAGGAATGTGTGAGTTGTACATGTTGGGCTTGGTGACGACAAGGTGATGTTGTCTTACTATGATTGTTCAAGTTGAAGATATGGAAGTGGACACTCCATGTGCATTGTCTTTTAATATTATTACTTTCTTTACTTCTCTCTCTCCTAGGGTTTCATTTCATCATTCCAATTACAAGACAAAGTCAACATTGGTTTAGCTAAGTTATGTCTTAAAGTGCTAAGAAATTTTTAAGTAGAATTGTATTATTAAAAAGATATTTTGACTAAGAAATTGAGTACATAGTTTTTAAGATAAATGTTTTTATATTGAATCGGTTAACAAGTGTCTTTAGTATGGAAGTGAATTTTATGATTTTGAAGCCTCTAACTTTATCAGATTTTAAATAATTTTTATAGAGAGAATTTACAAAGAGAAGAAAGTGATGTTGCTAAAATATATATTTTTATAACATTTTCACCTGCTTATAATTACTTTAATCTCATATTCTCTCCGAAATAATTTATAATAAATTTGACTTTTTAAATATATTTGACAATTAATATATCTATTATATTCCGTCTCTATATAAATTAAATATATTAATTATCATATATATTAAAAAAATAAAATTTATTTATAAATCGCTATGGAGTGAGTATCTCTTAATAGACAAATTTAAGAATTTTTTCCCCTCAAAGTTGTTTGCACTTTTGTTTGCACTTTGTTGGTAATTTAGCCAAGATCAGGGAAGTTCAAAGGAGGTGAAATTACTGAGAAATGCAAGGGTGTGAGTTTCAAGAAGGTTAAGACGCGAGATTTTATTTATGTGAGAATTCTAAAAGAATTTAATATTTTTTTATAATAGATATTTCAGCAAAAGTACTAAATTATTTTCAAGTAATATAAAATTGTAAGAATTACAGATTATCGAACCCAATGATTGTGCGAGACACTTTTTAATTGTATTTTCTAACTTAATTGAACAAAAGCTCTAGTATGTGGGACCTCAACGTAATATGAGTTTAAGGGGACTATTAAAATAATTTTTTTTCATCTACTATAATTAAATATTTAATTTTCAAAAGATATTTTAAGATTTTTTTATGATTAAATTTTTTGGTATCTGTTATCAAACTATGTTAATTTTAAGACTTTTTAATCAGGTTGTTAACTCTCATATATTATGTTGATTAAACAATTTTTTTAAATATTTTTTAAAGCTTTTATATAAGTGTTCTGGACTGGGCCCGACAGGCCCAAAAGTATTACTAAGGCCCAGTCCAAAGGGACACACTAAGGACCACACTGGGCAAAGGGGGTCGCGTTCATGCCCGACACCCTGATGTCCACCTCGACATCTCGATGTCCAGCCCCACGCGGTGAAGTCATGCTCGACACCCTGCCGTCCGGCTCTGTGTCCTGACGTCTAGCTCGACACTCGCTGTTCAGCTCGAGGTCTTGGCGTCGAGCTCGGCACCGTGCTGCGCAGCTCGACATGGGCTCGAGTTACCCGGCTAGGGCAGACTCAGTCCACCGTTGCCCCAACGATACTCCGGAAAGACCGCGTCTTCGTCCGCCCGCACTTCATGCAGCACATCCAGGAAGGGGACCACGTGCTGGTCCCCACTACCCACGTAGAACCTGGCAGTTCCTCCATTGGGCCAAATCCGCCCGGCCCAATGAAGGAACCTTGGCCCAGCGCTGGGGGCTATAAATACCCTCTGTTTCCAGAGGGTCAGGTATTCATCATTCTAACCTCAACTCTATTATCTACTCGTACTCCCACTGACTTTAGCATCGGAGTGCCTTGCAGGTACCCCCCCCCCCTCCTCGTTCAAAAAGCCTTCAGCTCGGAGCAAGCCGTGACGGTCCAAACCTTCTGATCAGGTCAGATCAGTGGCGCCGTCTGTGGGAAACAGCTTCCCCGTCTAACGAACAATTCCAAAGACCAAAGCTCAATCCAATTACCTGTCATGGCTGATCCAGCTCGTGAAGAACAGCACACCCGCGTCACCGACACCAACAACGGTCTCGCGGACAAGAATGGGCACCTCGACAATCTCGGTGATCCCGGCCGCAATGCCACCCCTGCGACAACCGCCCCTGGACCTTCCACCCGCAGGGACGGGAACACTGCGTCTTCCTCGACGACCCCTCCAGCACTAGAAGACGACCCGGAGGCTCTCGCCTATCGCCAAGCTGCCCGATTCTATGAAGTCCAAGTCCCTGCCGGGGCAGATGCCACGACTCAGGCACTGTTCGCGGCCATCAACCAGACAAATTATCTCCTATTCGCCCAAGGAGAAAGACTGAGGGCACTTGAAAATGATCGACGACCCCCGAGGAGGCATCAGAGGCCACCATCTCCACCTCCTCGGGTCGAAGAAGTTCGACACCCTACTCCCCCGCGGAGACATTACAGGGAGAACTCTAGGAGCCCCTCTCCCCCACCAAGGCAGAGGCGGCCCCAATATGAAAGACAGCCCGTCATCCCTACCGAAGAGCCCAGTCGCGACCCATCAAGGCACGACAGGAGGCACAACAGAGACGGGCGTGTGACCTTCAACCACCGAGCATCACGCTCGAGGGAATCTCAGCACGACCACCGTGCCCGGCATAACTACAGGACCCCTTCTCTTTCTCCAGAAAGGAGCGACGAGGACGACCCCCGCGGTCCCCTGTCGCAGGCCATCATGGACGCACCTATTCCCCCGGGCATGGAAAAGCCCCCACACCTGAAGGAGTATGATGGAGTGGCGGACCCAGTCGACCACATTGACGGGTTCGAAGCCATGCTCCACTATCACAATGTCGGGGGGCCCATCAAGTGCCGTCTCTTCCCAACAACTCTCAGGAAGGCGGCCATGGACTGGTACAAAGGACTCGCCCCGGGCTCCATAACCTCTTGGCGGAACCTGAAGAACCAGTTCATCAGTTCCTTCACAGCTTCCCGTCGCCACCCGAAGACCGAGGCGGCCCTCGAGGCCATCATCCAAAGACATGATGAGACCTTGAGGGAATTCATCAACCGCTTCAACCGGGAAGCAATACAGGTCCCCTGCGCGGACCATATGAAAAGGTACTTGCTGGAGAGGGGCCTCCTCCCCGGCACAGAATTCAGAAAAGTTGTGGGCATTGAGCCACCTGCAACTTTTGATGCTCTCCTCGACAAAGCCCGAGCATACATGGACTACGAGGAGAGAGAAGCTGCCAACAGGGCACGAGACTCCAGGGCTCGCAATCACGGCAGCAGCTCGAGACAAGACCCTCCTCCCCGACGGACCGGAGAGAAGAGGAAGGAAGATAGACCCCGGGAGGTCCGGGAACAAAGGGGCCCCTCGGGCCGGTTTACTGAGTACACTCCGCTCACGGCTTCCCGCGAGCGTATTCTGGCGGAGTGTGCTAGCACAGATTTTAAAGACGGTGGCGTCAAGCGTCCCCGACCAGCTCCTGCCAAGCCAGGAGTAGACAAAAACAAGTACTGTCAGTACTATAGGAGTCATGGTCACTTGACAGAGGACTGCGTCCACCTGAAGGACGCCATCGAAACCCTCATCAAAGGAGGGAGGCTTGCACAGTACAGGCGAAACGACGCTCCCCGTCGTGACGCCCGCGAGGCAAAGGAGCCCGAAGAAGATGCCCGACCATCTGACGAGCCGGTGCCAATCCAGACCGCCTTCTCGGTAACCAGGCCCGAGGATTTCGAAATTCCCGAGCTCCTGCAGGAGCCCCTGACTACACACAGCAGGTGGGAATACTTCCCCTCCGCCATGGTCATCAAAGGGGGCGGGTTCAACGACCTCACCATCAACTCAGCCAAGAGGAAGTTGGACGAACTGGTCGACAAAGCTCCTCCACAAACTGTGACTTTCGAAATGGTGAGGGGCAGATCAGAGCCTATCACCTTCTACTTGGAAGAGCTCCCCGGCGGAGCACCGAACGCAGTCATCCCCTTGCTGATAAGGGCAAAGATGGCCAATTTTGACGTGCATCGCATCCTGGTCGACGAAGGGAGTTCCGTCGACGTGATGTACACCCAGCTGTTCCGGACCTTACAACTGGACGACTCACATCTGTCTCCATATATAGGTTCGGACCTTCAAGGCTTCAACGGCTCAACGTCCAAACCTTGGGGATATGTCGAGCTCCTCGTGACGTTCGGGGAAGGAACTGCTACAAGACAGGTGAAGGTCCGCTTCCTCGTCATTGACTGCCCATCCCTATACAATTGCATCTTGGGGAGGCCGACATTGGCGGAGCTGACAGCGGTTCCCTCAACTGTCCATCTAAAAATGAAGTTCTATACCAAAAGGGAAAGGCTAGCCACCATCCAGGGCGACCTCGCTGCTGCCCGCAGGTGCTTCAACGCCGCTTCAAGGGGACGAGACACTGTCGATGTGGGTACCAGCACAAGGCCCATCAAGAAGACAAAGCAAGAGCCCGACAGAGCATCTCCCGAGGTAGAAGTTCAGAAGGCTCCACCAAAGGTCGACTCCATAGCCCTCGACGCCCGCTTCGACCAAGACGAGCCGGCCAGCAGCGAGCAAATCCCCCTCCGACCTATTCCGGACGGCGATTTCGAACTCGTTCCCCTTGGAGCAGACCCGACCAAGGGAGTGAAGATTGGCAAGGACCTCCCCGACTTGGCCAGAAAGCAAATCAAGGCCTGTCTGCGCGAGAATGCTGATCTCTTCGCCTGGAGCGCTGCAGAGATGCCCGGACTCGACCCTGAGGTCGCCTGTCATCACCTCGCCATTGATCCAGCCGCCAAGGCCGTAGTACAACGTAGGCGTAGGC